AAAGTTCCGCGTGGCCCCACTCACCGCCAGCTGCAAGTTCGCCACCACCTTGCACGCCTCCGCCAGATTCAGAATCCGGCACATGGTCAGCATGGGGTCTCTCCCCGCGCGAGTGGGGGGAGGTGCAGTCGGCGCTTCGCGCGGAAACGCCGTCGGCCAGCCAGGAGTCCGGCCAACAGAGAAGCGCTGTGCGGAGAAGTCCGGGACCTGAGCCCTCCCCTCCCGCGCGGGCAGATACTCGCGCAGCGTCGGCGCACGCAGAGGAGCCACCTGGCCGGGGTCCGCAGCGAAGGGAGGGCCGTTGGTCACCTCAATGTGTACGTGAGTCGGCTCCCCACTCACCCGCGCCTGCCGCACCACTTCCGCAAACGCATTCGTGGCGCGATCGAGGGCAGGATCCTGCTGGCGACCATTACCGCCTCGCCCACCGCCATTCCACTCCACCGGCCTCGTCGGCCTCCGGAACCAGCCGAGTGCGGACGCGGGGGGGACTGCTCGCGGCGACCCGAATCCCAGCGACGCCCAGGCGACCCCCTCCCCCGCGTCGCCGGAGATCGCCGCGGAGAGCGTTGCGCAGGGGATCGCGCTCGGGGTGAGAGCTGGCCTGCCCGACCACGAGGGGATGGGCGGCGAGGAGAGCGAGGACGCGCAGGGGAGCGCTGATCCCCTTCCCTGCGCTGATGAGGTTCGCGATGCTCAGGAGAAGGGCGGCGAGGAGAGGGCTGCCGAGGAGGCTGACGTGGAGGCGAGCGCCCGCGCTCCTGCTGCGGCTGACCGTCCGGGCGGTTCGACGCAACACGTGCAGGGGCCCACGAATACTCCGGTGAGGTGGGGCGCGCGGCAGGCCGATGGGGAAGAGTTAGCACTCGCTCGAAGCGGCGGACGGGCTCGCTTGCGGAGGGGTGTGCAGGGACACGTGGACGAGGCCCGGCAGGCGCTGGCTCTGGCAGCGCGCTCTCCGCGGAGCCCTCCAGCTCCGGATCTCGTCTCGCGGATGGGTCCATCACCCCCGATAGTACCGCAGCCGACGCCAGCGCGCCGACGAAGCGAAGACGAGGCGGACGCGACACCTCAGACAGGGCGCGCGGGAGCTGCAGGAGGAAGAGCAACGCGTGGAATCCGCGTGGGACGCGGCGGTAGCCGCCGCGGACGACGGGGAAACAGGAGAGGACGAAGAGGTGGTGGAACACGCGGTTCGAACCGGCGCCGCACTGGTGCAAGCGGCTACGCGAGGAATGCAGAAAGGCTGATGCGGGACGGCGCGGAAGGCGGCGAGGAACCGCTTAGCGAGGAAGCAGAGGAGGAAGTGGAGAATGACGAAAGTGACAGGGGTGACCCTGCTTTTAACCCTGAAAGAGAGGGGATGTTGGGAGCAGAAGCCGAGGAGGGCGAGGAGGAGTTGGAACTCCTGCTTCGGGGAGAGGAGCTCCCCAGCCCGAATGCCAAAGGCGAACCTGCCAACCGAACCACATCTCAAAACCGAGCCGCGGGGGGGAAATCAAGCAAGGAGGGGAAATCGAGCCGCGACAGAGAACGGAGTTGACTCTGCGACAGCCAATGAGAATTCGGCAGCCCCAATTCCAACCCCCCCGATGCTCAAACCTGACGACCTGGTGAAAAAATCTGACCTGTTCGCCCAGGTTGCAGACTGGGACCTTGGCCCGTTGCGCGACAGTCGCCAGCCCCCACTCGCCCGCCACCCTCCAAAAGACCTTCGCGAATCTTTCGCGATTTGCCTGCTGACACCGTTACTCCACCTGGCAGCCAACCCCGAGTCAGAACCAGGTTGGAAGTTGCTGACCTTCCTCCCGCGCATACTTCTTCGCACCTCGTCAGCTCGTAAGCCTGACTGGAGCGCAATGATGAACCGGCTCCTGCGTTTTCGCCAAGGGTTCTGGACCGGCCTCTACGAAGAAGCTGCCGAAGCGAACTCCCTCCCTCCGCAGCCTCGCCACGCACCTGACACAACTGGAATTCTCGCCAGAGCGGAGGGTCTGGCAAAGCGTGGTAACCTCTCAAAATCGTTGCAATCCCTGCAAGCCACGCCCGTGTCACCTGCCTCACCTGAAGTTCTCGAGGCCCTCACGACGAGACACCCACCTGCATCCCAATCGCTACCTGATTGGCTACACGCTGCCACAGCAGAAAACCCTCCCGCTATCGAAGCCCGCGACTTCAGAAGGCTCATCGCCAAGCTCCCCAATGGAGTAGGGACTGGCCCCTCAGGAACTACCTTCGAACACATCTGCGATGCAGCCCTAGGAAACGCCGAGGTTTTCACCCACCTCTTAGCCCTCACCAACACGGCTCTAGCGGGGAAACTTCCTGCCGTCGCGGGGGAGCTCCTTAACGCCTCTCGCCTGTTGGCCTTCACGAAACCGCACGGAGGGACGAGGCCGATCGCGGTTGGAGAATGTCTACTACGGATCATCGCCAAAGCAGCTCTCTTCCTGATCACGCCAGCCGCTAGATCTCACTTCGTCCCGCTTCAGTTTGGCGTGGCAGTAGCGGGGGGCATTGAGGCTGCTATACACACGGCGCATACTTACCTGGAGGTGCATCCTGAAGTAGTGGCGCTGCAAATCGACCTCGCGAACGCGTTCAACGCAGTCGAGAGGAGAGCGGTGTTCGAGGGGTTGAGGAACGAAGTGCTTGAGAGTCTCACCCCCCTGGTCCGCCTATCTTACGGAGTCCCCTCCTCACTCTTCCTCGACCATGAATTCGCGGCGGCTCCCCTGCAAAGCGCCAGAGGGGTCCGCCAAGGAGATCCCCTCGGCCCCCTACTATTCGCCGCCAGCATCCACCCCTGCCTCGTTGCGACGGCAGCGGCTCACCCGCGGGTCGTCCTACTCGCCTATGCCGACGACATCACGCTCCTTGGTGACGCGCCACATTGCGCCGCGGTCTTTGACCACCTCACCGCCGCGCTCGCCTCCATGGGGCTCCTCCACAACCCAGCTAAGTGCGCGGCTTGGTCCGCCGCACCAATTGACCCTGCCTCCGTTCCCCCGGGCATCACCGTCTCGACCGAAGGGCTGCAAATCCTCGGCAGCCCCGTCGGCACAACACAGGGCTGCGCCACGGCAGTCAGGGACAGACTCACGGCAGCAGCGGAACCGCTCCCGTTGCTAGCGCAAATGGACCCGCAGCTCTGCCTCCTCCTCCTCACACGTTGCGTCAGCCGCCGCGCCTCATTCCTGGCAAGGACAACCCCGCTGGAGGTCTTACCCATCGCAGAATGGTCGGCATGGGGGGAGCGGCTGCTCCACGCGTTCCTAGAGGCCGCGCACATTGTCGCACCAAGGAGCGACGAAAGGAGGCGTATTTGGCAACAGGCAACGCTTCCCGTTACCTTGGGGGGTTTGGGCATTACGGACCCGGCCGTGGAAGGAAGTTACGCGTACCTCGCTTCGGTGATCGGTGCGGCTCACCTCCTGCACTCGCTCGCCGACTCCCTACACCCCGCCATAGCTGCACTGCTCCCCCTTATGGACTCTGTTCCGGACTCCGCAGCAGCCTTGCCCTCGCGCCTAGCTGCAACTGAAGCAGCCCTGCCTCCTGAAGCCATGGAGGCCCTTCAGGCTGGTAAAAGTGACCCCAAGGGACTGAAGCTCCAGCAGTCCCTGGCCCTGGCAGTCCACACCCGCCGCTACCTCCGAGTGCTGAACACGGCGCGGCATATGCGCCCAAACCCCCTCTCAGGGCATGCTCAGCGGATGCAGTCCCTGCTGGGCCCGGGAGCAGGGGACTGGCTGCTGGCAATCCCACTCTCTTGTGCGCTGAGGCTGGGCCCCTCCCAACACTCTTCTGCTTCCTCCTTCCGCCTTGGCCTCCCCCTCCCTGTCCCAAGGCGGTGCGACTGCCGATACCGCACCACCTTCCCTGATGACCGCCTCCCGAATCACCTTATGCGCTGCGAGAAGGGGAAAGGGAGGACTGCCACACACCATGCTCTCAGGGATGAAATCGCAAGGATAGGGGCGGAAGCAGGCTTCACGGTTCACAAGGAGACCTATGCCTACTCTCTGGTTGAAAACCTTAAAGCGGATGTCTCCATCCGCCATCCCCTGACCGGAGAAGTGTGGCTTTGTGATGTGACCGTGACCGACCCGGTGTCCTACCAGGACGAGAACTGCAACCGCGCACCTGGTTGGGCGGCTAGGGCAGCAGCTGCTCGGAAGGAGGAGAAATATGCGGGACGGAACGCGTGGGTGGGGTTCCACGCCTTGGCCGTGGAGACCTACGGCTACCCGTCGCCGGGGGTGCTGGCTTACCTGCGGCAGTGCGCGGAGCTGGCTGCGAAGCTCCGCTACAACGCGGCCCCTACCTCTCGAGAGGCTGCCAAGCTGCTGACGGAGTACCGCCAGCGCTGGAGCGTGTGCCTCCAGAGGGCGCAGGCAAACGCCCTCCGCACCAAGACCAATGAGGCCCTGGAGGCGGACGAGCTCAGCCTGCAAGGGCCGTGGGCCCCCCTCAACGAGGGGCAGCTGCACCAGCTGATTGAGCCCCCGTCTGACCACTAGGGTCGGACAGCGGGGGGGGGGAGAGAAGTAGGTGATGGTTGATAGGCCTGCTTGTTTGCCTAGTTTGCACGTGTCAGCTTCAAACCTTTGTACCACCCTTCAGCTAATACACGGACCATTCGAGAAGAAAGAGTGTGTTGTTTAGAGAGCCACTGAGATGCTAGGCTTTAAGCAAAGGAAAACGCTGCCTTATTTCTGTAAGAGACCAGTTCTGGTTCGAGTTGAACCATTCGAAACCTTCAAATCAAAGCAAGTGAGGCACATCCAACTCCAGGTTCGCATCGCAGCTCGAGCAGTACGGGTTTCCTAGAGAAGCAATTCAAGGGCTGCAAAAGTTCATCTCGTTCCGCTTGTTTTTGGCAAACAAAGACTCCTCGTTGGTTCGGATACTTGCTCAATCCCAGACGCCACAGTAGGGAGAATCTCGGTATGGCAACATAGCAGGATGGCAAGTTGGTATGGTAAACAGTAACTCACAGATTTTGCAGGTGGACCAGATTGGTCCAGCTATTGGGGAGGTAGCCTTCCAGGTTGTTTCCGTAAAGGGACCTGCAGAATGAGTGTGAGAGCAGGCAACAGACGGACGCGCGAGTATTAACTGGTGGGAGTTATGAGAATCTAGGGCAGAAATTATGAGTGATTTTCTTGAGACAGCGTTGCGGCAACAGAGACGGTCTGAGTGGGCCACCACAGTACGCTAATGCATATCACCTCTAACGAGGCACGCTCTTACATTGCATGTCAGCCGCTTTCCCAACACCCTAGCTGCTTTCCCAACACCCTAGCTTCTTTCCCAACACCCTAGCTGCTTTCCCAACACCCTAGCTGCTTTCCCAACACCCTAGCTGCTTTCCCAACACCCTAGCTGCTTTCCCAACACCCTAGCTGCTTTCCCAGCACCCTAGCTTTCAACGAAGCGATTCCCAACATCCTATAGAAGAAATTCCCAACACCCTAACAGCTTTCCCAACACCCTAACAGCTTTCCCAACACCCTAGCTGCTTTCCCAGCACCCTAGCTGCTTTCCCAACACCCTAGCCGTACTAGCTTTCAACGAGTAAGAAGGAAACCCGATTCCTGAAGAGCTGATGCTAAGGATCCTCACCAATTTAAAGCCACACTAAACTCACAGGAAGGTGAGTGCTGTGAGCTGAGAGAGGTCATCATTCAGCAATCGCCCCTGCCGGTGTGGATACTTTGAATACACGTTCCTGCGCACAAGAAGATGCCGGCAAGATCCAGCACACTCAGAGCAGCTCAATCACAGCCATTGCCATGGCACGCGTGGTCATCCCCGTGCCTCGTGTCGTGGGGGATGTGGCGTGTGTGTGACAATGGTGGAGTTCGAGAGTGAAGTAGGGGGGTGAAATAGGAGGGTGAAGTAGGAAGAACCCTAAACCCTAAACCCTGGAGCTCACAGATACTGAAGGTTGGTGAGTTGAGTGACCCAAATGGGGAACTCCACAAATTGAAGGTTGGATAGATCCCTGCAGCAGGGAGGAAAGCAATAGCAGAGCACGTCACGTAGACAAGCCAATGGAGCTGCAGTCATGTCCGGCGAGGGGATGGGGATGGGGATGGGGATGGGGATGGGGATGGGGATGGGGATGGCGATGGGGATGGGGATGGGGATGGGGATGGGGATGGGGATGGGGATGGGGATGGGGATGGGGATGGAGATGGGGATGTGTTACTCGTGCACACCAATGAATCCGCTTCACCTGTCCCATCGGACTTGAGTAGAGCTTACAGTGCAGTGAGGGCAGTCAGGTATTGAAGCTCTCTGGGTATCTCCCCTGTGGCGTTGGTGAGCCTACTGACATGCCTGTGGTCATGCACATGTAATCAGCAATAATGAAAGAACTACCATTGGCAATCGTGAGCTGGTATGGATGGAACAAATCACATGGTGACAAGCACATTAAGAATAGGAACGGGGAGCCACCACCGTCCCGTACGTTCTTATATCGCAATGATGCTTACAGCTGATGTAGGCTTCTCAGGTGTGAAAGAATGTGCAGGGAGGACAGGTCCCCTGTGAATGCCAAGTACTGTAGAGACCTGGTTGAAGAGAGGGAAGTGCGACATGGGAGAAGCCATTGCAGATAGTGTAACGTAGCAGCATGGGGACTGCTGCATCGCACGATGTGGTGTGCAGCGTGTTAGGGTGGTTCGCCGCTACCCTATTACCCACCTGAGCACTTAACCTAGGGTTGGTACAACAATGCTAGGAGCGGTGGGTAAAGTCAACAATGTGCGGAATCTAGTAAAGCTAGAACGGTGGGGCTGGACGGAAAATGAAGGAGAAGCAATTTGCCTCAACCTAAATGTCCAACCGCAATTGAACCATGCTTGGTACAAACGCAACAGGTCAGTTTTCGTTTCAGGGTTGGTTAGCGAATCTGGTTCCACCATACGGCACGTGGCTAAATGCGGCACACGCATTACACGAGGCTCCCAACTCTTTCTTAATTGCTGAAAAAGTTTTGTTTGAGCCGAATTGTGCAATTCCTTGTTTTGAACAAATATGTAACTGAAAATTAAAAAATTCTCCAGCCACAACTTTTCCCTAACGTCATCTAAAGGCGATTGCTAAACTAAGACAGCGAGGCTGGATAACACAGTGGAAGAAGAGTGACAGTGACAGTGACTGCTCACAGGAATAACATCGGCTCGTAAGGCGAACTGTGTTTGCATTGCGTGAAGTGAAGTGAAGTACAGTATTTGCAGGTTGGTGAGGGAGGAGAGCCAGGCCAGTCCGTCCAGAGTGCCGATGAAACTGCTACCAACAACCGACCCAATAGCTCTGTGTGCACATGGGGCATGCAAGCAGCAACAGTGCACATGAAGGGTGCACGTGGTACAGTTAGTGGGATATGGGACCACATGGGGCAGCCACGCAGCCATGGGGATGCAGGGTTTAGGGGAAATAAGGATATTACTATTTGGAATACACGAGGACTTACGAGTACGACTTTTGAGTCGACTCAAAAGTACTTGTACAAGCGATTGGTAATGAACGGCGTGAGAAAAGAGACAGGAAATGATAGTTGTGGTAGGGAAGGGAAATAAGGATATTACTATTCCAGTTTAAAAAATTTGCAGGAACAACGATCAATCCAGCTGGAAAGAGCAGAATGAGGGGGTGCAGAGGAGTGAAGGAGAGTGTTGGATGGTCATATTGGATGGGCATATTGGATGGGCAGGGCAGGGTCCAACATTCAGTTAACCTGGTATGGAACAATGGAAGAGCAACACTCACCAATGGAAGAGCAACACTCACAGGTGCGTGAGGTCAGTGAGAGTGGCGAGGGATGGAATGGGCCCGAACAGATAAAAGTAGGTCAGATCACTGTGGGATGGGATGGGATGGGAGCGAATGAACAGCAGTGGAGATGGCGAGAGGAAGCCTGAGATCAGCAGTGGTAAAATGGAGCCTTGAGATCTGTGACTGGCATTGAAGTTTTGCAGCTTGTGGTGTGGCTAGTGCGCAAGGGAGGCATGCAAGGGCGGGAAGAGGGTATGTTCAGTTGTGGCATGTGAATGCAAGAACGAGATGGAAGGACAGAGCAGTACGAGGTTGGGGCGAGGCCATGGCAAACTAAGGAAAGGTTAGGTACTAGATGCAATGCATGCAAGATGGATGTAGCGGAGGGAGAGGGAGGGTGGGTGGGAGGGTGGGTGGGTGGTGACGCACAGGAGTTGCAAAGTGGAAAGACCGGTGATGGAGGCAGGTATGGAGGGAGGGGAGGAATTCGGATAAGGCTGTATTAGCTTTGAATTCCTGCCAACACACGAATGCATGCACGCACGCAATACCAACCAGCTCCCATTCCTCCCCCATCTCCCGTCCACCCCAGTTCCATTCTTCAAATATCCAGTCCTCCCCCATCCCACCCCCCACATCCTTCAACCCATCTCCCCCCTTGTCCGGAGTGCAATGCTCCCGCACACACACAATCCAACACAATCAAGTGGAGCAGACAGCGGAAGGGCGACACAGTGAAACACTGTGGGGGAAGGGAGAGGACAGAGGGGGCCAATGAGGAGTAACGACGGAGTACTGAGGGGGCATAGAATCTCCCGGTGCCTTCAACTAGGCTGGCCAAATCGAGGGTTATTCTGCGCTGCAACAGTCCCCTTGTAACACGTTGGTGTAAGACTGGAGGCATTACCCCCGTGCGGCCCCTGGTGTCAAACGTCCTCGTTTGGTTGGATCAGGGGGTTAGCTTCGCAGGAAGCTCGGAGTTCGGTTACCACATTCAAAATTTTGCTCCACCACAATTTCATGCGAAAAACGTGGCTAGCTGGATTCGAACCTTTCCCAGCCAGATATACAAAAACGTGGCTAGCTGGATTCTGAATACCAATACAACGCCGGTGACATAGACCACGGCCTAACTGGGAGGCAATTACAGCAACGAGGGGCAATTTGGACATGTTAATAAAGGGAGACACACAGCACCGAGCAGAAATCTAGGGTAACGAGAACAGCGAGTGGCGGAACGATTCTCACAGGGCAACGATCCTCACAGAGAAACGACTCACAGGGAAACGACGAGCCCGTTGGGGCTGCAGGTGACGCCTTCCCATGCAGAGCACGCCGTGGTGGCGTTGCTGTTGCCCGCCCACACGCCCCACGCTGCATTCAGCTGCAGCAGCGCCTTCACTGCCGGTACAGGGAATGCAATTGGGAGGGGAGAGGAGGGTGGGGAAGAGGGGGAGGGGGGAGAGGGGGGGAGCGCGTCGTGGTGGCGTTGCTGTTGCCTGCCCAGATGCCCCACGCCGCATTCAGCTGCAGCAGCACCTTCACTGCCGGTACAGGGAATGCAATTGGGAGGGGAGAGAGGAGGGAGGGGAAGATGGGGAGGGGGGGCATGGGGGGGGGATGCACGTCGTGGTGGCGTTGCTGTTTCCCGCCCACTCGCCCCACGCCGCCTTCAGCTGCAGCAGTGCCTGCTCTGGCGGCACAACGGGGAAATGGGAGCACATTTACTGCAGAAAAGAGGGCGGGGGCAATGGACGGCACAACTACCTCAGTGCCGGCACGTGCGCCTGGGCTGGGTCGGTGTGACGTCGCACTTTGAAGGGCGGCCCGCACTTTGACGTCGGATTCTCTCTCGAACGCCTGCGGGCTAGTGTTAAGGGCATTCCGCGGCTGCACCAAAATAACACCCTCGTTTTGACCCTGTGATTAGCGAGGTGCTATACTCTCTCTGCTCATGACAAGAGGAGCTCTGAGTGCGAACTCCGGATCCCATTCGAAATGGGAGGATGATATCGCGTGAGGAAGCGCGCTGAGCTCTCAGTGTGAGGAAGCGCGCTGAGCTCTCAGAATGAGGAAGCGCGCTGAGCTCTCAGTGTGAGGAAGCGCGCTGAGCTCTCAGAGTGAGGAAGCGCGCTGGTGTGATGAAGCGCGCTGAGCTCTCAGTGTGATGAAGCGCGCTGAGCTCTCAGTGTGATGAAGCGCGCTGAGCTCTCAGTGTGATGAAGCGCGCTGAGCTCTCAGTGTGATGAAGCGCGCTGAGCTCTCAGTGTGAGGAAGCGCGCTGAGAGCCTGGACTGGACAAACCGACTCACATTGCGAATTTTCAAGAACGATTCCAACGCTCGCGTCGGCCGCGGCAGTGCCGCCGGTAGCGGCGAGCTTTAGAAGGGAGCGTTGGGCACGGCTGGGCCGAGCGCGAGACAGCAGGCGTTGTCTGGACAGAAGCCGCTGTGGGACATCTCGCCGCGGCGGTGGGCGATTAGTAGTAGTACTAGTAGCGCTGGAAAGGGAGCAAGCAGCAGCGCCGTTAGTGAGCGTGGCTGCGAGGAGGAGAATCCACGCTCCGAGATTAGAGCGTGCGGCTGCACGCCCGGGAAAACGCATTTAGGCGTGCGGACTCAGAATCGTCGTCTGACAAAGGAGAGTCTGGCAGGTCAAAACTTCTGGCGAACAAAAGTTCATCGCGGAGGCATTGGCCCCAATTCGAGTTTAAGTCTGGAATTTGCTGGAAAGTTGCTGCTGGGTTGTAGCGAGGGTAGGAGCTCGACGGGGTGGAGCTGACGGGGTGGGCCGTGCGGTGCGGGAGGTGGTGAAGGAGGAGGTTTTCGGATAGGGAGGGGATAGAACACGCCTGCCGAACCAATGCCATCGAGACTCTCCAGATAGGGTTAGGTGAGATTATCTCGAAGCGTGTAGTTTGTGGATGGGAGCATTTGTGGACAAGAGCCGGCATCTGGAATCGCGAATACCTAGTAAGCAACCTAGCTAGTAACGTTTCGTGCGTTTTAAAACGGTCCAATCGTTTTCTTCTATGTTCATGTATGTTACAGCTCGTTACTGTGCGATGACGGTCCGAACTTTTATGAGGTCGTGAAGCAATGCTGAAAATCCTTTACAGATATTTCTTTTACAACTCACAACACCTTTGAGTGCACTTTCAAATCTAACACGCGATAGAAAAATATGAAGACAAAGTAGCTGGCTGCTCCACATTCAGCTCGGCCCAACCGTCGCCTAGAGGCATTACTATACAGTATCGAGTCTAGATAGACTAGACTATTATAGTCCAGTGCCCCCGGTTGCCCCCATCCAACAACCTCTCCGCCCACCCTCCCCCCTCCTCCTCTCGTCCTCCCCGCCCATCCCTTTTTCTCCCCATCCCTCTCCCGCCCTCCCTGCTTGCTTCCTCTGCCGCTGCGACGCTGCGACATTGCTGCTGGCCGTTGTGCAGTTTCACTTCACATCACACCAGCACAGAACCGTACAGATATGAAGTGCAACAGACAGCTTTTTATTCCACTCCTGTAACAGTGTGGCAGCCGAATGCTGCCAAGTACAGTGCAGGTGGGCGGAAGTCAAGCGCCACCTCACCAACTGTTCGTATTGGTCAAACGCCTCAACCTACAGCTGGGCGACCAGGTCCTGACGCACAGCCCAACACAAACCCTCGCGCGAAAATTACGAAACGCAGAACACCGAAGTTCCGACCGCTTGCCGACTTCGCCAACAACACCGACGAAATTACAGCCCCGTAACCAAGCTCGCCGTCCAATCCCGTACCGCAATAATTCTCTGAATTTCACGGCAGGTTCATTTCAAAGGGGTTGGGTTACCATTGAGAAATTCATAGAGAGTCGCGACTTGGGAGTGCGACTCGATATTTGAATGTGCTCTATAAAATTGTACTGTGAAATTTGTGAACTCATAGTGCAATTTCCAGAGAACTCCAGAGAGCACTCTACCCTCGTTTTTCTAGCCTACTAAGGCTGCTACTTCCCTGCCAGCAACGTTTCAACTCCCATTCATCATGGCCCACTACAAGGCTGTCAGAACATCATAGCTTATGCTTTTGTGTAGGCTGTAGTGGGGTAGCCCATATGGGGTACAACCCAATTAGGGTTAGTACTTGTACCCAACTATTTCATAGTTCACTCATTCTCATTCACACGTTCTCATGGTATCGAGCAGGTTCCCCCGTGGGAACTGTGCCTAGGGCCCACCACATCGACCTTTTTTTTCCTGCCCGAAGCGCGCTCCGCCCGAGTCGCACTTCGGGTCTCACCTCGTCGAGCCGCCCTAGCGCCGCCCCCATTTCCCCTAGTGGCCCCGCCGCACGTCGCCTCGCGGCCCCGTCGCCCTACCTCGCGGCCCCGTCGCCCTACCTCGCGGCCCCGCCGCCCTACCTCGCGGCCCTGCCGCCCTACCTCGCGGCCCCGCCGCCCTACCTCGCGGCCCCGCCGCCCTACCTCGCGGCCCCGTCGCCCTACCTCGCGGCCCCGCCGCCCTGCTCAGCGGCCTCGCCGCCCTTCTGCAGCGGCCCCGCCGCCCTACTCTTGCGACCCCGCCGCCCTACTCCTGCGGCCCCGCCGCCCTACTCCTGCGGCCCCGCCGCCCTACTCCTGCGGCCCCGCCGCCCTACTCCTGCGGCCCCGCCGCCCTACTCCTACGGCCCCGCCGCCCTACTCCTGCGGCCCCGCCGCCCTACTCCTGCGGCCCCGCCGCCCTACTCCTACGGCCCCGCCGCCCTCCTCCTACGGCCCCGCCGCCCTACTCCTGCGGCCCCGCCGCCCTACTCAGCGGCCCCGCCACCGTTCACCAGCGGCCCTACCGCCCTACACCGCCCGCGCCGCCCGAGCTGCCAGAACAGCCCGAGCCGCCCGAGCCGCCCGAGACACCCGAGCCGCCCGAGCCGCCTGAGCCACCCGAGCCGCCCGAGCCGCCCGAGCCGCCCGAGCCGCCTGATCAGCCGAGTCGCCGGTGCCGCGGAGCCGCAGTCGCTACTGAGCCGTCCGAGCAGCCGTGTTGCCGTGTAACTGCACTACTGAGCTGCCCGACTTGCCCTGTCTCGTGAGACCAGTGCTTCTGTCACTGCACTGCCCCTGTCCTACAGTTGGTCTCGCTAGTCTACCGCTGTCATGGCTTCCCCTAGTCTTCTCGCTTTTGACGCTGAGGGTCGAGCCATTGACTTTGAGGTTTGGGTAGATGACTTGCAGCTCTTCTTACAGTGCGATAGGGCAGACGGTCTCTCCCTCTTTGACCTCACCTCTAGCGCCTCTCCTGCCCCTGGTGCTGATGGTGACCCCACTGTTCGCTCCCAGTGGGCCACGCGCGATGCTGCGGCACGTCTTGCTGTGCGTCGCCACCTACCTACCTCTGAGCGCGCGCACTTTAGTCAGTACAAGAGTGCTCACACCTTATACGACGCTGTAGTTGCGCGCTACTCTTCCCCTGCCACTGCTGCACTGAGCCGCCTCATGCTACCGTACCTCTTCCCTGGCCTTGTTGCCTTTCCCACAGTCGCTGACCTCGTTACGCACCTCCGCACTAGTGACACTCGCTACCGCGCCGCACTTCCTGCTGAGTTCTGCGCCAAGAATCCCCCCCCCATGTACATCATGTCAGATTTATATGACATAGTTTCTGTAGGCTATAGTGGGATAGCACATATGGGGTACAGGGTTTCTAGGGTTGCATTTGTACCCAATCTTCCATAGTCATTTCATTCCTGTTTTCCTTACTTCACATGGTATAGAGCGGGTCCTGCCTTAGGACCGTTTTTTTTAGGGCCCACCGAAGCGCGCCTCGAGGCGCGCCTTTTTTTTTTAGCGACCCCTCGGGTCGCCTTTTTCATCGCGGCCCCGCTGTCCCTCAGACGCGGCCCCGCCGCCTCTCCTGATCGCGGCCCCGCCGCCTGTTTGATGCGGCCCCGCCGCCTCCCCTGACGCGGCCCCGCCGCCTCCCCTGACGCGGCTCCGCCGCCTCCCCTGACGCGGCCCCGCCGCCTGTTTGACGCGGCCCCGCCGCCTCCCCTGACGCGGCCCCGCCGCCTCCCCTGACGCGGCTCCGCCGCCTCCCCTGACGCGGCTCCGCCGCCTCCCCTGACGCGGCTCCGCCGCCTCCCCTACCGGCCCGCCGCTGCACCTGCCGGCCCGCCGCTGCACCTAGCGGCCCGCCGCCTCTGACGGCCTCGCCGCTGCACCTGCCGGCCCGCCGCCTCTGACGGCCTCGCCACTGCTCCTGCCGGCCCGCCACTGCACCCTACGGCCCGCCGCTGCACCCTACGACCCGCCGCCTGCACCTGCCGGCCCGCCGCTGCACCTGCCGGCCCGCCGCTGCACCTGCCGGCCCGCCGCTGCACCTGCCGGCCCGCCGCTGCACCTGCCGGCCCGCCGCTGCACCTGCCGGCCCGCCCCTGCACCGGTCGACCCGCCGCTGCACCTGACGGCCCCGCCCCTGCATCTCCTGGCCGAGCCGCCCCAGCAGCCGAACCGCCCGTGAGCCGAGCCGCCCGACGCCGAGCCGCCCGGGACCCGAGCTGCCCTGCCGCCGAGCCGCCCGGGAGCCGAGCCGCCCTGCACCCGAACCGCCCAGCCGCCGAGCCGCCCGGGAGCCGAGCCGCCCTGCGCCCGAGCCGCCCAGCAGCCGAGCCGCCCTGCACCCGAGCCGCCCGGTCGCTGAGCCGCCTTTCTGCATACCTGCACGACCTGCCCTGCCTGGTGAGCACAGTCCCACTGACACTGCGAGCTCTTTCCCTACTGCTTGCACTGCGTCGCTGTCGTCGCCATGGCTACCCCTAGTGTCCTAGCTTTTGACGCTGAGGGTCGCGCCATTGATTTTGAGGTCTGGTTAGACGACCTGCAGCTGTTCTTACAGTGCGACAGGG